GCCGCTGGGAGTACAGAGGCGAGAGGCGGTGGACATGGTTTACATACGATGAGTCCAAGCAGGGTTGGGCTTACTGGTCAGTTTGTATTGTGTTCATCTAGATGTACAGTCCGGGCAGGGTTGGGCTCAACTACGTTCAACCCTTTCTTTTTCTACCTAAAAGAAGCTTTCCAGAATTCCACCTCAATTAGGGTCCACTTCAACTACGTTACGTTACGAACGAAGTGTAAGGTAAACATTAGTATACTATACAGAAATGTGGTCGTATGCATCGTTCTGATACAGAGGCCAGGGAGTCCCCTTTTCAAAAAAAATACTATACAGAAATGTCAAATTAAGCAAGTACTTAATATATTGATCTGATCTGATTTTATTAGTTGCCATTAGTCTCATTGTTCACCAAGAAAGTTTGACCTCATCTTGCTTACATTCCCGCCGACCCCATCTCACCACCCACGGATTCATCTATGCTGGCACGCCCTGAGTCAGACGCTTCATGAACCCCGCTTACCTCGCCGATGAGGCAGCGCCCTTCCCCAAATGCTTCCTGGGCACCACTGACCTTGTCGGTGCAGTATTGCCCTAGCCTGGACGCTTCCTCTGCACCGCCAACCTCACCAATGTAGCACTGATGTGCCCTAGACGTCGCCTAGCCGCTGCCTCTCCAACTGAACGTCTGCCTTTCCGAGAGAGATGCTCATCACCAACGCCTCATCCCGATGACCCGAGTAGACGGTATACTCCAACGTGCCTCATTCGAATCGATGCCGAGGTATATCTCGTTAGCGTTAAAATTATTTTTTGTATTTTTAACTGTATATTTCAATGTCCATAGAAACAATAGTTTGGTGTCATGCGACGGGACTACTCCTATCCCTAACCTGGAACATCTCAGATTCTATGGCTCTTCCCTCTATTCACTGAGCGAATACAATAACGTCTACTTGGATAACACGAGTGCTCCCTCTAATTTGTGACCAGACGGCCAAGCCGGAAGGGTCATTCAAAGTTCTGGTTTTCTAGGCATTGAATTTAAACCACCGATCTACCTCGTCTATTGTGGTCTTAGGGCCATAGAGGCGTGGTGGATCTCGGCCCTTGCCGGCAGGAGGGCTTCATTTTTAGATGCGTTTATGAGTTTTGCTAGGGTTTGTGTCCTTCTTAGAAAGACGAGGCGGCGGTAACTCTCTGAAGATGGAATAAGTTTCTCCGCACCTAGCCCCTGTCCCGGTTGTGCTTCTAGTGTCATCGGAGGGCGTGTGAGACTTGTCTCCGACGAACCCGATGGGATTCGGTGGTGTTTGTCTTACGTAGATCCACGTGGATCTGGACTTCGTTCGTCATTGTTCATATGTCTACAGGTTGAACCCTTTCGAGCTACTTGTCTCTTCATCGGCGACGGTTACTATTCTGGTGCGCCGGTTCCATGGTACCCCTATTTTCCACTTTATTTTCTCCTTTTTCAGCCCGCTGCAGCCCCTCGTGCACATATATATGCAGGAGTAGCCAGCCCATAGACTTCCTAAACCTACACGTACTTACTCTTGAAACCGACTTGTACATGACCTTCCTAGTACTACAAAGACTCTTAATCACCGGCAACCTTCATCATAATTAACCTACGAAAACACTAACGCCCATACGTGTGAGTGTTACCCAACTCGTTCACACGCCTCGATAGTCGTCCAATGCCTTTTGCACAAATCTTGGCACGAAAAGGTTGATTTTATGCGCCACATAGGACGGAACTGGTGTGTGGGCGTTGGAGAGTTTGCCCACACGCTAGCACCACGCTGTTTGCCAGCTGCGCTATGTGGGCGAACTAGTTTCTGCCCACACAACCAGCCACCTAGTTCATGCACGTGTGGGCAAACTATTTTTCGCCCACACGACACCTACGTTGTGGATGGCAACTGCAGTTAGACGAACGTGGTAATTAGGTAAAAACACATGGAAACTGTGATTTTTTGCTAGACGGCAACTGCAGTTGCGCGTACGTGGCAACCAGATAAACACACATGGCAACTATGGTTGGACCACACATGGCAACTAGGTAAACACACATGGAAACAACTGTTTGACCATATGTGGCAAGTAGTTAATCACACACGGCAACTATGGTTGGACCACACATGGCAACTAGGTAAACACACATGGCAACTACTGTTTGACCATATGTGGCAAGTAGTTAATCACACACGGCAACTACGGTTTGATTACACGCGGCAACTACCATAAATTAGACATGGCAACTATAGTTAACCAAAACAGATAGAGTTGCCATACTTTTACAACTACACTTACTATCCTGGATAACTACATCTGCCAACCAGGATGACAACTAAATCGTCGTCCCGTGGTGTACCTAACGTAGTTGCGTCAGGACGTGTGAGCATTTTTGCTTCGTGCCACACGCGCGGGGTGAAGATGAGTAGTACTTGTTGGCGTGTGGCACGAAGCAGCCGCGCCCACACGTGTGGGCAATTCTAATATCCGCCCACACACAGCCCATATGGGCAGCCTCCTGCTCTCACCACACACAGTGTGTGAGCGCATGTCGAATACACCACACGTGTGGCAGTTATCGCCGTCCTTAACCTAAGGCTATACCTACAAGAAACCTACTAGAACACATCTAGCTAACACGGCATACGAGCCGGGCACAACTGTCTTGCACTATGGACTCACTTTGCCATCAAGCTTCTAACTTAAGATTATCACTAACAATCTCCTCCTAATCATGACACTATGTCTTCTATGTTTCTTCTGATTTTGGCTTGTTGATCACTCACCTCTTGTCAATTTATCCGCTCCCACCACGACAATTCCAATTGTTGCCTAGATCGCAACACCAACTCCCTGGTAGATCATCCTAGTGCTTTTCCTTGAGCTCACTCAAGGAGTGCGTGTCCAGATGCCTCCCACTTCTATAGATGAGTCCAGCCCCAGTTAACTAATCCTAAGTTGCTCATTTGTTACTTCTCTATCACTCCTGGCCCATCAGTTCATGACTCTGTCCGTGTTTGTTCGGTACTAATCCTTTCTAGGAACAGCAAATATGGTTGGACAGAGTAGTAGCCACATGCAGTGATAGGAGGCATCACATACTTCTATAACACTGGATGATTGATTCTTTGCAGCAGGAAAAATGACATTGAAATAAATAAGGCTTCCCTCCTGCATTTTTTTTCGAAAAGGGGGGGCGCCCCGGCCTCTGCATCAGGATGATGCATACGGCCATTCCCTCCTGCATTGGCCCGCGTACGACGCAGACCACCTCCTCTCCGCTCCTCCTCCCTCACCGCCGCCATAAGGCATGGCCGGGCAAAGCCTGGCCAGCGCCGGCGCCGACGGGGCTCTCTCGGCTCCTCGCGCAGTGGCCCCAGTGCAGGACGGGGCGGTCACGGCGGGACGCGGCGCTGGCGTCGGGCGCAGCGGCGCGGTAGCTCTCAGGCATTGTTTCCGCGCCGGCAGGGCCTGGCTTGTGTGAGGGGCTACGGGTTGGGAGGTGCCTCGTGGGTGATGCGGGCTGCGGGTGGCACGGGCGCCGGTGGGGCGGCCTTCTTGGTGTGGTCGCGAGGTGCAGGAGGGCATCAAACGGCGTTTGTGGCGGCGATGCGCACGGTGGTGGCGGGGATGACGCGGCAGATCTGCTGGGCGGCCGCTGCTCGTTGCGATGGCCAATGACGGCACTGCTGGTGGTGCATGCCTGGCCACGAAGACCAGTTTGGCCAGTAGGCGGCATGGGCTTAGATGGCGTTGGCTGGCTGCCACGGCTCGGTCTCGGGCGTGGTGGCTGGTGATGGCGGGCTCGGCCCTGATAGTCGTTGTGGATAGGTTGGGGCTGAGCGGTGGTGCGCGCCTGGGGGTGCTATAGCCTGCAGGTGGCGAGGGGTGGCCGTGGCAACCTCCTTCTTGATGCGACGTTATGAATCAATAAAATATACCCTTTATAAAAAAACTTGAAAATATACACCCTGTCAAACTTCAGTTTATTCAAATGCCCAACTAAATTTAGACTTATTCATATAATGACTAGTATGTGTTATATATAATTATTGGCCATGTGGTAGGAGGGCTTAAATTTAGACTCATTAATATATTGACTAGTATGTGTTATATAGAATTATTGGCCATGTGTAGCAGGGCTGGTGACTAGTCTGCTGTAATCTTAATGGAAACTCCATCTTTTGATTCCTGAAGGGATTTGGCAACCTCAAAACAGCCCGACGTTACAATTACTCGATTTGCCTAATTATCCAACTAGCTGAACGACGCATCAGCCTTTTGCATGTGGTGATCGAATGAGGCGGAGTTCGCCTTCAGTGCGTAAACTTATAAGGAGACCATGCCGAGACATGATAGCCTAGTTTTTTTTAGTGGAACAATCGCCTAGGTTGATGAACTATATATCCTAATCAAGCAAAGAAAATTGGCACGAGCTATGAATAAATTCAATTTCAATCAGAAGTTTTCATAAAGCAAATTCTGAAAGCAATTCGGATGTAACTAAATCATTCAACTACATGAACAGATAATCAATGCAAAACCATATCTCACGGTTAATATTTTTTTGTAGTGTATGCAGATCAAATCTTTTACTTTGGTTCTACTTCTTCAATTAGATCATTCGACATGCTTAATTAGACCACAATCTTGTTCTGCGATATGTATGTGTTCTATTATTACAGAGTAATAGCCTCCGTTCATTCCTTAAATACTAATTCCAGTATTTGCTGATGTTATCAAGCAGTGTTATAGAGAAATAAGTAAAGTATGCTCAACTAATTTAAAGGCCTTATGTACATTATTACTAAATATTTGAAGTGAGCAGAATGTCCATTCATACCAAGTTCATATACACATTTGTTGCTAAAGAGTTACTTGAAATATTTTTATATTAGCAGAGAGAAAACGTAAACTAAGCAATTATAACAAGTCACTAGGGAGCAAATGCACATCCAGAACTTCTGTATTGTTTTGGTACCAATTGTATTGCATCAACAAATGCTTGGAAGGACCCAAGCCCGTGGTTGTCCTGGGTAGTCGGCAACGAGTTCATGCGAAGATCCATCAACCAGAGAATACTTGATACACTGCCCATTGTACTTAATGATGTACAAGCAGTTCCCTTGAACTGCTGGATGATCTGGACCAAGGCAACCTGCAAACTGGAGAATATTAAAGAACAAGCTACACCCACCAAGGGCAGTAGTCCTCACCCACTTCCTATCCCCAGATTGCCACTGGAAAACTTGGTACCCCACCGGGTACCTAACAGCACTAATGAGCAATAGCTCACCACGGCACTCTGCTAGCCTCAACATTGAAGAATTCTCAACTGTCTCTGCACTCAATTCACCACCAAGAAACGACAATACCACGTAACTGTTGTCAAGCTCGACGACAGCGAGGCAGTAATTTGGAAAAATCAATGCGTAGAGGGTGCCATTCAGGGAAATCAGGTCACGAAGCCCGTAGCCTTCAGCGCACCGCGCTGCTCGCCAGTCATTGTCCTTGCCTCCAATGCGGCAGTAGCGGACGGTGTGGTAGTATCGATTAAAGGTGAGGACGAGATCGCCGGCAAAGATGATTCCTTCGTAGTCTTTTGGGGGATCGGGCAGGCGGACTTGCTGGCCTGTAAGGAGGTGGCAGATGTGGAGCTCGAGGTGGCTGCCCATGGCATCGCTGTCTTCGATGGCGACACGGCAACCGAAGGAATGGAATTCGGCATTGTTGGGGTCGCGGTGGGCTAAGGGGGTGCGGGGTAGGCGAAAGCGGAGGATGCGGCGGAGTGGGATGTGGAAGAGGGCTTCCGAGGAAGATGCCTTGTGCGGGACGAGGAGGAGCGGAGCCTGGGAGGCGAGGTTGGACTGCGACAGCGGGAGGAGAGCCCGGTAGGTGCGGCAGATGGCGCGGAGGGCGAAGAAATCCTGTAGGGTCGTCAGTCGGCTCGCGACCAGTGGGATCAGCTCTGGTAGGAAGTACGACGAGGACGAGGCGGTTTCTGCCGGGTCTATTGAGGAAGAGGAGGTGGTGGTGGTGCCGTGCTTCGCTGACGAAGACATTGCTTGCGACCGGTTCTGCCGGTGAGTGCCGCCGAGTGCAGACGCAGAGGCGAGGGGCGGTGGACACGGTAGTGCTTGGTGTTTTCTAGGTTTGCACACGGTAGAGTCCGGGCAGGGTTGGGCTTAGCGGCCGAGTTTGTATTGGGTTCGTCTAGTTTGAGAGTCCGGGCAGGGTTGGGCTGAACTAAAGTTCCACCTTTTTTCCACCTACAAAAAGCTTTCGAGTAGTTCTACCACAACTACGTTACGTTACTATACGATACGAAGTGTAAGAAAAAACAATAGGTTACTATGAAAATGTCAAAATAAGCTAGTACTTAATACATTAATCTGATTTTTAGTTGCATTAGTCTCATTGTTCACCAAGAGAATTTGACAGTCATCTTGTTGACAGTCCCGCCAACAGCAGCAGCAACAGACGCGCACACAGTCCCCCGCTCCCCTGCGCCGCTGGCCACTCCGGCCGCAGCGGCCACAAATCCGGCATTAATGGCCGCCGTCCCGTCCCGTCCCTCCTCAGCTGGCTCGCAGCATGGAAGCCCCCTCTCTCCTTGTAAGACAATAGGTTTGGGGAACCGGCTCAACCCTCTAGGGGTGGCCTATCTCATATATATAATAAAGAGGTACAATGTTACATTATACGTACACATATACGTACACATATACAGAAGCTATACAGTCTAACACCCTCCCTCAATCTTAGCCACTTCCTAAAGAATCTAGAAGGGTAAGATTGCGCCGACAATTCTCAAACTGCGGAAGAGGTAACGGCTTGGTGAAGATGTCTGCAAGTTGATCTTTGGAAGAGATGAACTTGATCTGTAGTTGCTTCTGAGATACCCGTTCCCGTACAAAATGATAGTCCACTTCGATGTGTTTCGTTCGGACATGAAATACCGGATTAGCAGATAGGTATGTAGCACCGATGTTATCACACCAAAGAATAGGAGACTGTGATTGAGATATACCCAACTCCTGAAGTAAAGACTGCACCCAGATGATCTCTGCAGTTGCATTAGCCACAGCCTTATACTCAGCTTCAGTACTGCTACGTGAAACAGTAGCTTGTTTCCGAGCACTCCAGGCGATCAAGGTAGAGCCAAAGAACACAGCATAGCCCCCCGTGGATCGCCTGTCATCCGGACTGCCAGCCCAATCCGCATCAGAATATGCTGAAATGATCCCAGAGGGATTCGGTCGAATGTGCAAGCCATAGGACAAGGTGAAGCGAATGTAGCGCAAGATGCGCTTAACTGCAGACCAATGAGCGTCACGAGGTGCCTGGAGATACTGACATACTCTATTGACAGCAAATGAAATATCTGGACGGGTGATCGTCAAGTACTGCAACCCACCAACAATACTCCTGTACTGTGTCGCATCAGCAGAGGGAAGAAGCTCACCATCTACAGCAGTGATCCTGTCAGTAGCAGACATAGGTGTAGTAGTTGGGTTTGCACTTAAGCATGCCAGCCCGCTGCAATAAGTCCAAACAGTACTTCTTCTGTGTCATAACAAGACCATCAGAGAGAGAAGCGACTTCCACACCAAGAAAGTAGTGAAGCTTCCCAAGATCTTTGACTGCAAAGTCAGCACCAAGAGACCGAACAAGAGCAGCAGCAGCCGACTGAGAAGAACTGACAAGCAGGTACATGATAACTTCGGGCCATTGTAGAAGAAATAACGAAGAGTCAGCAGCCGATGATGCAAAACCATGAGCACGTAGGGCTGTCGCAAGACGAGCATGCCAAGCACGGGGAGCCTGCTTCAGACCATAGAGTGCTTTCGTAAGACGGCATAGATAATCAGGACGATCAGGATCAGAGAACCCTGGTGCCTGCCGCATATAGACCTCCTCCTCCAGGACACCATGGAGAAAAGCATTCTGCACATCAAGCTGACGAACAAACCAACCCCGAGTAACTGCAAGAGAGAGAAGAAGCCTGATGGTAGTCGGTTTAACAACTGGGCTGAAGGTGTCGTCGTAATCAAGACCATAACGCTGCCGAAATCCTCGAGCAACCAGCCGCGCCTTGTAGCGCTCAATAGAACCATCAGAATGCTTCTTCACTTTGAAAACCCATTTAGAATCGATGACATTAACTCGGGGTGGGGGAGGAACAAGAGTCCATGTCTTGTTACGAAGAAGAGCATGGTACTCCTGTTCCATAGCCTCTCGCCAATGACGTATGCTGAGAGCAGCTTGGTACGTACGAGGCTCAGAGGTAGGATCCGCACGGACAGCAGCCAGACATGCAGCCAACCAGGCAACCGTACCATCAGTGCGATGTTTGGGCTGAAATACTCCACTGCGACTCCGCGTATGTGGTCGTTGAGGAGCCACAGGTGACGGTGATGGCGACGCCTCAGCCAGTGAAGGAGATGCCTCAGAAAGCACCGACGGTGATGAGGTGGTGACGACGATGGCGAGGCCTCGACCATCGATGGAGATGCCTCAGGGAGCAACGGCGAGAGGGCTCCACGGGCAGGTGAGCTCGGTCCAGGCGAGCACGGCCCAGGCGAGCACGGCCCAGCCGTGTCAGACCGAGAGGGTGACGAGGCCGGCGTGATGGCGAGCCGAGAGGACAACGAGGCCTCCTGGCGAAGCGGCAAGGTCGGCTCAGCGGCCGTGGTGGCGGGCCGAGACGACGAGGCCTCCTGGCGAAATGCCGAGGACGGTTCAGCGGCCGACTCCGAGCCCATGGGCGACGAAGATGGCCCAGAGATCAAGGGCGCCAGTCCAGGGGCCGGGGGCGCCGAAGCAGTCGGCGTAGGAGGAGGTGCGGCCCGATGTGCATGAGCACGATTTCCGAGGCCATGCAGGGACTCCTCACGATCATCAGGAGGAGACGATGGTGCCTCCAAAATCTCCAACTGAGCCCCACGTCCAGTGCCTGCAACATGGTTAGGCGGCAAAATAGGAGAGTATGCAACATCATCAAATTGGTCAGATGCAACGGAGGATGAATGCAAAGATGATAGTTCAGCAGTGGACACAGGAAGCTTAGCAAAGGGAAAAACTTGCTCATCAAACACAACATCCCGTGATATGTAGACACAATTTGTGGGAACATGAAGACATTTGTAACCTTTATGAAGAGAGCTATAACCAAGAAAAACACACTTCTTGGAACGAAACTCAAGCTTGCGTTTGTTATAAGGACGGAGATGCGGCCAACAAGCACACCCAAAAACCTTAAAGAAGGTATAATCAGGTTGTTCATTAAGGAGAACTTCAATAGGAGTCTTCATATTCAAAACACGAGTGGGGGTGCGGTTTATGAGAAAACATGCAGTGGTAAGAGCATCACTCCAGAACCGAAACGGAACCGATGCATGGGCCAAAAGAGTAAGACCAGTTTCAACAATATGACGATGCTTACGTTCCACAGAACCATTCTGTTGATGTGTATGTGGACATGCTAAACGGTGAGCGATCCCAAGCGACTAAAAGAAGGAGTTGAGGTTGCGATACTCACCCCCCCAGTCCGACTGGACATGAACAATTTTGTGCTTGAGAAGGCGTTCAACATGTTTTTGAAACTGAACAACAATGTCGAACACATCAGATTTGCGTTTAATAAGATAAAGCCAGGTAAAGCGACTATAAGCATCAACGAAACTGATATAATAATTGTGACCACTGACAGAAGTCTGAGCAGGACCCCATACATCAGAGAAAACAAGTTCTAAAGGATGTTTAACCTCACGACTGGACTCCAAAAAAGGAAGTTGATGACTCTTCCCCTGCTAACAAGCATCACACACTGCTACATCATTATTACTAGACATGCTAGGAAGCTCATGACGACGTAAAACATGACGAACGATAGGTGTGGCCGGGTGACCAAGGCGAGCATGCCACTATGACGGAGATACCCGAACTCCACTGAACACGCGAGCGACACCAGGATGCTCCAAACGATAGAGGCCCTGGCACAACCGCCCGCTAAGAAGAATGTCCCTCGTGCCCCGATCCTTGATAAAAAGATCAAAAGGATGAAATTCACAAAGCACATTATTATCACGTGTGAGTTTAGGAACAGAAAGAAGATTACGTGTCACAGAGGGAACTCTAAGCACATCACGAAGCTGAAGACTCCTATTTGCATGCCTAGTGAGAAGAGATGCTTGACCAATATTAGATATATGCATACCTGCTCCATTGGTGGTGTGGATCTTGTCGGAGCCATGGTAGGGTTCGCGAGTATGGAGCTTGCCCATCTCACTCGTCAGATGCTCCGTTGCCCCAGAGTCCATATACCGGTGAGGATCAACAGAGTAGGACTGAGTGTACCCTTGCTGCTTTGTGGCCACCGGTCGATCTGCCATGGCCACTTGACGCGCAAAGTTGCGCGTGTCCTTGCCATCATTGCCGAGGCCCAGAAAACTCTTCTGAAAGCGTTTATGACACTTAGAGGCCCACTACCCATCGCGACCACAAAGCTGACACACATGCTGACCGCCAGCCCCCGGTAATGTCGCAGTAGGAGGGGGGGCCGAAGCGGGCGGTGGTGGCAGCCCCGAAGGAGCCCGAGATGATGAAGAAGAGCGGCCACCCTTGGTGACGGCGTTGGCCGAGAGGGAGCCGTTGCTCCTAGAGCGGTGTGTCTCGACCCGTTGCTCAGTGAGCAGGAGACGGGAAAAGACCTCGTGCGCCAGCAGTCGAGTTGCCCCGCTCGTTAATGATCTCGACTAAGGCATCATACTCCTCATCAAGACCATTGACAATAAACGAGTTGAACTCGGAGTCGTTGAGGGGCTGTCCAATAGAGGCCAACGTGTCGGCGAGGCCCTTGACCTTGTTGTAGAACTCGGTGAAAGTGGAGTCAAGTTTTTGACACTTCCCAAGTTGACGACAGAGCGCAGAGACACGAGCCTGCGACTGTGCTGCAAATGAGCGCTCAAGAATGGTCCAAGCCTCATGGGACGTCTTGGCGAAGATAACAAGACCGGCAACGGCCGGAGTGAGCGACCCCTGGATGGAGGAGAGGTTCGCT